CACCTAAATAAATTACTTTTTGTAATTTTGACTCTGTCCCACTTACCCTATTGTGTGATCGTGTGTTAATGCCTGCAGAGCGACTAATGATTTTTCTTCCTAAATCACTTATCTGCCTTCTCGAAGTCAACCATTCTTACATTAGCTAAATTCTTATGTTCCGACAATCTGACTACCCCCGACCTACTAGTTTCACCTATGTAGTTGACCGAACTCACAGTCATTGTAAGGTATTTTGTAAATTATATTATTTTGTCTAATTGGGTCAACCAACACGGTCCTTTAGATTACAGAGCTTGTCCCTGAGTGAGTTTGTAGGTTTCTAAGCCACTCTAATTCCTGCTTTATTTAGAATCCTACGTAGTGTCTCAGATGTCCCCCTCCCTCCTTATGTGGTAAAACTGTAGATGCCTTATATTCTCTCTTATTTATGTTATCATTACTAGTTTCACAATTATTTTTATTTTGCTTTTGACCTTTTCTGATCTTCCTAATGAATTTTATAGGATAGTTATTTGATACCAACGCTTCTTCTATCTCTTTTATTTCATCGTTTAAGTCTTTTTTGTGCTACTTAGTTCTATTGCTCGATTTGTTAGACACTTAACTAAGCTAGCCTTCACTCACATACAGATAATGGATGAAATGAATTAAAGTCTAAATATATATGTATTAGCAGAATACATTGGCATTTTATAAACGCCGCTAGTGTGTAGTTTACCTTCTTCTGTTTGTTTGAGAAGAGCGAAGGGTTAAAATTCTAAGAAGTGACGTAGGTAGGTGGAGATAGTGAGAGACTGATTACCGAGTCCTGGTTTATCGAGTCTACACCCAACGCATGCAACAGAAATGACTCAGCGGAAATATCAGAGATATGGAGGATATTATATTATTATTCCGAATGTACTTTATCATCTTATATTGATTTTTATTCAAATGTCTAATCACCAATTCCACTCATGTATATAAATGAAGTAAGAAAGTTGTGTGAGTGAGTGACTTGATATGATTATGAGCAGTAATAATTTGTGCTCTAAATGTGGTCATCAGTTAATATCACTGTATTTTGTAAAAGTATAAGATCAAGAAAGTCAGACTTCTCATTTTATTCGAATTCCATAGACCATTGTATGTTCCATGTCAAAGAAACCGAGAAGTTGGAAAGCATATTAAATTTAATAAATACGTCATTGACATATCTGTTGTAGAATACCACTTCAGAGATTACATGTTTTTAACTTATCTGTTCAGAGTACCCATAAAATATCTGCCAGAAAGGGATCTAATGAACTGTCGGTTGCAATTCCATCAGTGTGGCGGTACATAATGTTGTTGAACCGAGAACTTTACGTTCTTGGCGTAAGTAATGAAGTAGGATTTGAATTCCTCATTGTTAACACACAATCTGTACAGTTTGATGTAAAAAGCATATTTGTGAATGATAAAGATAATATAAAAGCGATACCATGAATATGTCACAAATGTTTAAGACTTTTTAACTTTTCATTACTGAATTCAAGGCTGTTTTTCAAGCAGTGTATGAATCACCAAGCAACAAGTTGGCAGAAGAAGCGTCATCAAAGATAGGAGGTACTTCAGGTGAACATAGAGAAAACAGAGGTGATGAAGATTCCTGACCAATAGCAACAGCAACAACAACAGTAACAATCAGCCAGCATTAATGGCAGAAATCTGAAGGAAGTAATCTCCTTTACCTACCTACCTAACTACCTGGGAATAATCTTTTCAACTACAGGCGGACAGAACTGATGAGGATATCAAAGCGAGGATCGAGAAAGTGAGGCAAGCTTTCATTACTCTCAAGTCTGTGTGGAGATCAACAGAACTAAGTATGATAAATAAGATCCGGATTTTCAACTCCAATGTGAAGTCAGTGCTACTTACTATACGGATTAGAGATAATGGCGCGTCATGAAGAGCACCTCAAACAAACTACAAACCTTCATCAACAGATGTCTTCGGTCAATACTGCTCAAGATCAGATGGCGGTCAGAAAAGATCAGCAGCAGTGGCGGATCTCTGGGAGTGAACCAACCAGGAACCGACTACGCAACAAATAAGCAGGAAGAAATGGAAGTGGATTGGTCATACTCTAAGGAAACCATCAAGTGACATCACAAGACAGGCCATAGCTGGAGTGGAAACCGAACGGGAAGCAGCGAGTTGGTCGTCCGTGCGAGAGTGACATGGAGGAGGAGGTTATGTGAAGAGGAGATGAAAGCATGTGGGCAGTGTGGAGCCAGATGAAAACGTTGGCAGAGAACCGAAGGCAACTGAGACGAGCGTGGCTGAAGCCCTATGTTCCTCTAGGAACTAAAGGAAACAATAATAATATAATGAATCACAAATCGCTTCTAACCGCTTACTTAAACCTTGAGAAATGCACTTCTACGACCTGGAAGGAAATGACGCACCACCATCACCACTCCACCATAGATATTGAAACTCGTGTTTCCTTGTGTTCCAATCAAAGAAGTTACCACTCATCAGTTTAGATCAATAGTTAAAGAATTATAAGTTGGCTTATTATGTCTTAACTCTTATTCGATCTTATTACTCTTAAGCATGGTAGATAATTTACCTAACACATGTACCCACAAAATTAATCAATTAGAGTTTACATGTTACATTAGCTAACACAGTTAAACACTCTTAAGTGTAAGTTTCTAGGCATTTGATCCATTCCAAGGCAGACAACGAAATGATACTATTTGGAGAACTGTTGAAAATCAAAGTACAACGGGCAGACATCCCATTCTCTAACAGTACACACCAATGAGACTCCACCGGATACTGAACTCACAACCTTTAGGTTACCAGGAGAGTCTATTCAGCTACTGGGGAAAGGATTATAACCTCTGCCAATTCTCGATATATAACACCACCACCATCAGTCTGTCTATGTTATCCGTAAGTATCTATCTTTACACCGAACTCACTAGTAGTCACGACTTCTTTCACAAGGACTCCAAGAACTCTATCCCATGGTAAAGGGTGTCGAGTTACCTGACAACTCCAGTAGGTCGAATAAAGCAGCTCAATCTTCAGAAAGAAGACAAAGCAATAAGTCCGACAGGGTGCTTCAACTAAACTCTAATCCTAAACACCATAATTTTGAAAATACGTCTAATCATAAAATTCTAGATACTAACAGTTTGAACAGACATGAAGGCGTGTCTTGTTAGCTGATGCATAGGAAATCCTTATTAATAAATAAAAAATGGATATGCTGTGACGGGGTTTGATCTTTGGTAGAATTATGTTTTCGAGCCGTTGCATCACTGCTTCTGCAATCAAACCTGATATAGGTGTTCCTTTGACTTGTTCACATATTTAGCCGTTGAATTGGAAGTACGTTGTTAGACATAGGTCTATGCATTCCATCCAGCTTGTGAGTTTCATTTTTGATTGTTGTGGAAGGTGTTTGTCGTTGCTAAGTAATTGCTCCAGTATTGTATACCTCAATCGGACAAAAAGTGGATATGTACCACTAATTAATAATACTTGGTCAAAATTCTCGACTGTCCATATCTTCTTATGGAGACGTTACGAAATGTTTTACAACTGTTTACCCACACACACACATATGCACACTCTGTTTAAAGTGTTTAACAAAGGTAGACCAATATTTGTAAGTCCGAGGTCAAATTTTGATCACAGCTCATAAAATTTTGTTTATTATGCTTGTTGAATGACTCATGATTGGACAAAGTTTTTAAAAACAAGTGATGTTCCTTTTTATATATAAACCTCTGTTATGTTAATTTCGATTAATTTCCCTGAAGAAGTTCGGACCAGATTGCCGAACACAGGAAACGTTGGAATTACTCATTTCAATCTCGCTGAGATTTTACAAATATAATTTTTTTTAAATGTCTACTTCTCACTCGGCGCCCAAATATTTTAGAACTATTCTGTCAAATCTTGACGACAGTTCATTTGAATAAAGGGAAGATTACTTTTCAAAGGTCTATTCGTAGGGATTTATAACATGAGCGGAAGACATGAAGAGATTGTCTGTTTTTGACCACAGATGTTTACGATCTCTTTCTCGCGTTAGGTGGTATAATAAGGTAAGTAATGTTGACGTTAGGCGTAGAGTGTTGGGCAAAGAGGGAAAATCAATCGAAGAGGCTATGAAGTTACATAGATTGAGATGGCTAGGCCACGTGCTGCGCATGCCTAACCATCGTCTCCCCCGACGGGCATTACTAGCTGATATAGGTGTTGTGGGTTGGAAAAGAGTAAGTGGTGGCCAAACAAAAACATGGCCTCATCAATCCATGAAATCCCTGACAGTTAAAATGAGTCAGGTAGGGAGATGCAGACTTCCGGGTTGGAACCCTCGGGACTCTAAGAATCAATGGTGGCTGGAGACAATAGGTGACATGGCTCAAAATCGTTGTCAATGGCTTACGCAGATGTATTCAGTCTCTGTAATCTTTCATATTCCTTTCTACCATTACTCATTCTGTTTCACTCCTATGCTTGTCAAAGCTCTATTGATTCTCTTCACTCATTTTCTTGTCTACCTTTGTGTGCTATTTGGAACGTGGCAACTCGAACTGCTGCACTTCGGCGCCAATATCTATGTTGAATCCAGCAGCAGCAGCATTTATAACATTAGAAAAATGTGAGTTATTTATTATTTTTATTAAAATAAAAAAACATTGTTTAAAAAGAGAAAAACTTATAAAAAATAATGATGTTCAGTAAGTGATTATGAATTGTGGCGCTTTACTTCAGAAAAAAACACGCATACACACAGAGGAATCTCCGAAACAGTACAGGAGATTACATAATAAACAAATAGAGGAAATTACCTAAAAAAACAACACGGAAAGACGTAAGAAATAGCGTATATATATACACAAATGAAGCCTGAAAGGATAATGAAAGCTTAACAATTACACAATTACAAAGCTTAGAGGACAAAATCACATCAAACAAGAGTTATACATATATATACACGCTGAACCAAACTACAGGTTATTTTGTAATATTTTACAAATCCTATTATGTAAACAATGGATAGTTAGGTAACGAGTCAATAGAAGGCATACAGTTGATACAATTAAGCTTAGAATAGAAAATAACAAACGTGGTGCAAATATTTTCCATACCATTAAATGACGACGTAGAATACCAGTGCTTAGCATACAACCTAAAGTCTGTAATGAATAATATACAATACAGAAAGAGGGAGAAAAAACAAAAGAAAAATGGAATATCTGAGTTACAATGGTATATGGGAATAAATCAATAAATAACAGAGAGATATATTTGAGTTTGACCACGGATTGATATCAGTTATAGAACCATTGTAAACCAGCTCGAGAGGAGTACTGGATAGCCAGCTGTTTCATCAGCCTAGTTTCGGAATCATCGTCAGTATGCACCCACACCCACTGGGGTTCGAACCCAGGACCTTCACGGTCACAAGGCAAGCGAGCTCGTACACCATTCAGCCACTGGGACCCGACTCTTCAATGGCCAGCCCATGAATTCCAACTTCTACCAATTCGTATTATTTAGCGCGACTATCAACTAATGTCATCGGCGGGAACCCCATCCTCACTCCTGACAGGATGCACCTTACTGATCACGACTTCTCACTAGAACTCCGGGAAACTCTGTCCTGTAGCAAGTCACTAGCAAGCATTAGATTAATTTTCAGGTTTGATTTGTAAGGATTAGATTTGTCGATACGAGTTTGACCACTGATTGATATCAGTGTGTGAGTAGTACTGCCAATGATTCCCAAACTAGGATGAAACAGCTGGCTGTCCAGTACTCACTGTGGATGGTTTTCAATGGTTCTCTAACTGATATTAATCCGTGATCAAACTGGTATAAACAAATCTAATCCTTACTAACCAAACTCTTGAGAGAGATATTTGTCTAAAAGTAGTTTCAGTGAAGGTGTAGCTCTCATTGACTTGTGGAGTTGACATTCAGTTGCGCAAAATGCGTCCTGGAGGTTTGAATCCCACCCTCTATAGTTACTTCAGTGTCTAAGAAAACTGAGTAGTATTATCAGGTAGCAGAAAGTAGGTATGCGTCGGTGGCACAGCGGTAGAATGCTCGCCAACCACGCCTCATGTGGTCCGGGGTTCGATCCCCGACCACCGACGCACTCCTTTACCTCGCTAAGCCAACATTAGGACTGGTAAAGAGAGAAGGTTGGGCATTAGGCTAGTAATCCCATCCCGTAAAAAATAAACACCACTGCTACCGAAACTTCAAAGCTCTAGCTTGAAACCTTATTTCCCGCTGGGAAAGCGAAGGGATAAAACAAAATATTAAATAACATATAACCTGAATAACAGTAACAATAAAGCACATGAGTAAACAGTGTAACATAATCTTTGACATATTTCAATAAATGAACAGTCAGTTCATTTTATGAAAGCAAAATAAAGTGCTATAAAACTCAAGATGATCTGTCAAGTATTTAGGAAGTTTAAAGAGTAACTTATGATCAGAATAACATTCTTGTATTCCAAAGAGTTAGGGTATTCTGGCATTCATATAGGGAATTCAAGGCATAAAGGAGAGTGATGCTCGATGCGGCTTCTTGTGCTCTAAGAAGTCTGTGGGCGGTTGTCAATTCCCGGTTTCCCACGTCATGGAAGTTGGTTGATTCTTCGGGTACCTGAAAGAGGGTTAATGTTGAGTGACCGCAGAGCCCAAAGGACAACTGCTTGAGGCCAGCCGGTCACACACGGTCTGTATGAACTGGTTTCTTGCTTTGGTTCCGTATTAGTTAAATTACCGCCGGTTATGGACCACTGTAGCGTAAGTCGGGATGTACAATTGTTGGGATCGACCTTTTCTAACGCCATCCCTCCAGAGTGGAGAGACAGCATATTCTTTTGCATTTCGGGTGGGACATAGAGCTTCAATCCTTGAATTTTCCGTGGCAGTGGTGTTGCTTTTACGAAATGAGGTTTCTAGCCTCACATCCAACCATCCCTCTTTTCCTAGATTATCTCCAGCGAGAGAACTAGACGAGGTTTAGGAGTACATCAGCCAGGAGTCGAACCCAGAACACATGTGTGGAGCTAGTAGGCACTCTATACTTCCTGAACGCCCCGACGTATCAAGAACAAAACTTATATATATATAAATCTTAATTAGATGTAATCCATCACAAAGGCAGAACTTACCAATACAAATTTACACGCGAAAAATCGCCAACTCAATAAATCTAAAGCATCAACAAATCGATAATCAAAACAACCAGACATCAGTTTATGCTCCCCGCTGAAGAATACATTTGATCTTTGATGATTATAATACTTTATTTGTAAAGAAATAATAATGACCACTGGTAGACTGAATGCAATTATTATTGGACCAGAGTATAAATGCAAAATAACTGTGATTGCCGGCAACCAACGTGTACTATGATCACCTTCGTAGATAGCATAGGCAGCATCCCATGGAATACTGGCCAGTGTAGGCTGATGTCCAGTGACATAAAACGATAAATTATCCAGTAAGCATAGGAATACTGCAGTAGTCCATGAGATGTTTTCCCTAGGCACATGAAGCAACGATGAATCTAATGAAATGAAAAAAAACAGGTAGCAGCATATTTCTTAGTGGAAAAAAGGGTTTTAAAAGAAGGGAATACTCTAACTACAGCTTAAACTAACACAATGAAATGAATAAGATTTTATTTTGATGAAATCACACAGTGAAGTGTTATACAGTAATATTAACTGATGACTACACGTTTCAAGCACAAATTATTACTGCTCATAATCATATCAAGTCACTCACTCACACACTCACACAACTTTCTTGTCTCATTTATATACATGAGTGAAAGTGATGATTAGACATTTGAATAAAAATCAATGAGATAAGATAATGTACATTCAGAAATAATAATATGAGTGTTATCAATCAAGTACAATCAGATGGGAAATAAGACGAATGTTTTTATAGTCATAATAAATAAGTAACTTGTTAGAATGTTGTGATGTACGTGAATTGAAATAGAATTTTGAGATTATTTATTATCCTCCTCTGATTTGACTGACTGGTGGTAATAATATCTTCCATATCTCTGGTATTTGTATTGAGTCACTCCTATTGTGCATGTGTTGGGTGTAGACTCAATGAACCAGGATTCAGTAAGTGATCAATCTCTCTCTCCACCTACTTATATTACTTTTTAGAAGTTAAACCCTCTCCCATCCACCCTATTGTGCGGTTGTGTGTTAATGCATGCAGTGCAGTGCAATTGATGAGCTTTTCTTTAAATAACTTATCTTCTCGGGGTCAACCATTCTAACCTTACCTAAATTCTTATGTTTCGACAATCTGATTACCCCTGACCCACTAGTTTGACCTACATAGTTGACTTCACAGTCATTTCAGGGTATTTCGTAAATTATATTATGTTGTTTAATTGGGTCCACCGGGTCTTTTAGCCTACAGAGCTTGTCCCTGTCCGAGTGAGTTTGTAGGTTTGAATGCCACACTAATTCCTGCTTTATTAAGAATCCTACGCAGCAAGGGTCTCAGATGTCCCCTCCTTATATGGTATAACAGTGGATGACTTATATTCTCTCTTATTTATGTTATCATTACTAGTTTCACAATTATTTTTATTTTGCTTTTCACCTTTTCCGATCTTCCAAATGAATTTTAAAGGATAGTTATTTAACACCAACGCCTCTTCTATCTGTTTCAATTCATTATTCAGGTCTTTTCTTGTGCTACTTAGTGCTACTGCTCGATTTGTTAGACAGACACTTAACTAAGCCTAGCTTAACAGTTAACGGATGAGATGAATTAAAGTCTGAATATGTATTAGAATGCGTTAGCTTTTTATAAACGCCGCTAGTGTACAGTTTACCTTCTTCAATTATTTTACAATCAAACATGGCTAATTATTTTTGTTTAATTTCCGATGCAAATGTGAATTTTATTCTCTCTACTAGTGAGTTTACATGTGTCAAGAAGCTAGAGATATGTTCTGTTTTTAACACTGTGAGTGAAAGTGTAATCCACATATCCCCACCATAATTTTGGAGTACGATTAAATGTATTAAGAGCAATATTAAATAACTATCCTATAAAATTCACTAGGAAGATGGAAAAAGGCCAAAAGCAAAATAAAAAGAATTGTGAAACTAGCAATGATAACATAAATAAGAGAGAATATAAGTCATCTACTGTTATACCATATAAGGAGGGGACAGCTGAAACCCTACGTAGGATTCTCAATAAGACTATAAAAACACTCGTCTTATTTCCCATCTGATTGTACTTGGTCAATAACACTCATATTATTATTTCTGAATGTACATTATCCTATATTGATTGATTTTTATTCAAATGTCTAATCATCAATTCCACTCATGTATATAAATGAAGGAAGAAAGTTGTGTGAGTAGTGACTTGATATGATTATGAGCAGTAATAATTTGTGCTCGAAACGTTGGTCATCAGTTAATATTACTGTATAACAAACACTGTGTGATTTTATCAAAATAAAATCTTATCCATAATGGAGACAATGAAATGAAGCCAGTGGAGTCAAGATGAAGCTAATACTCACCGATAATGGCATTAGTTTGAGGTAGAACTATGTCAAAAAGTTAGAACTCACAACAGCTGGATGGTTAGCTGGCTGGTATCCCAACTTTGAGATGCTGGATCCGCTTCTTGACGGGGTATCATGTGTGTGCACATTGTTGAAGACTTCCAAACTGGTACGAAACAGCTATGGCTGTTTTTCAAAGCTTCTTGAATAGATATCGGTCCGTGACGACGTCTTTCTAGAGATGAGATACAGTTGCGTGAGACTGGAGTCTATATACTACTTCTCTATGATTATTTCAGTAGTACACGAAATATCATCATTTCACTGGGAATTAAGATAGTTGCAAATCAAGATAATAAATGGCATATGTCTGGCATCTTTAATTTGTTTGTTTGTCTCAAACCCAAAATTTATATATACGTTACGTAGACGACACAATTGTATGTAATAGAGAACCAGTAGATAACCCATTAATAGACAGCGTCTTCAACAACATCAAGCGAAGAGGACTCCGAGAAAAAAAATACATTTTTGACGTCTCAGTATACCATAGTATGTATACATTGTCATTACTGTATACGTTGTTATAGTTTATGGCGTTAACACTAAAATTCGACTGCTGTATTATTACGTCAATGTTAAAAATTGTTAAATAATTCCAACAGACAAGACATTACGTCTGTCATTGATTGATGATCATATGACTGAAGAGAGATGATTTTGCTTGATGCTAAGTATAACTTGTGTGCTTCTTTCCGTCTTTAAATTAATTGAGTAATGTAAAATGAGACTAATCTACTAATGAGTAGTCTGTCTGGTTTCGACATAGAACTTTCCATCGATGTGCAGCAGTTCAAGTCGCCAAAGAAGGTAGAGGTGCATAATAGACACATTAGACAGGGATATAACATAAAAGGAATAGTAATAAGCAAGAACAATATAGTTTCATTGGAAATTGTAAGTCATAAGCGGTGGATGCATCTGCGACAGCCATCGCTGAGAACGATTTCGAGCCATATCACCGATTGTCTCCAGCATTCAACGGTTTCTACCGTCCCGAGGACTTCAACCAGGAAGTCTACACCTTCCTACGTGACTGGCTTAAACTAACTGTTGTAGATTTCATTGACTGATGAAGCCATGTTTTGGTTTGATCACCACATCTAGCTCTTTTCCAACCTGATCCACACCATGTCAGCTAACATTGATCGTCGAGGAAGGAGATGACTAGGCTAGGCATGCGTAACACACATCCCAACCACATCAATCGATGTAACTTCACAGCCTCGTCGATTGATTTTCTCTCCCTTCTTAACTAGCACTCGACGCCTAACTTCAGTATTGCTTACGCTACTAGACCACTTCACACGGGAGATAGAACGCAGGCACTTATGATCAAAGACAGCTAGCTGGTCTCTTCATGTCTTTCACTCTCAATGGTCAGGTCTCACAGCCAGCCTATAGGAGGATGGAGCGAAGTGCTGAGCCGTACACTTATGCTTTACTCGATAGCCAGCCGAATATCACGTCTACTAAGCCAGAGACGGCGTAAACTGGCATATGCGAAACTTGTCTCCTGTAAGCGTGCCGAGATTTCGTCAGAGATCAGCCCGTTGGCACTGGCTGATGCAACTTCCCAAATAACAAGTGAAGTGGTCAACACGCTCTACCACTTCACTCCCTATTTCTAAACTACGAGTCAATTTAGACCAGTCCTGTAACATCATCTTACATTTGGCGGGAGCGAATCTCATGCCAAACATTCGTAGATTGCAGCTCAAGGTGTTCAGAAGACTCTGCATTTTGTCACCGTCTTTACCTAGGATGGAGGACTATATCATCTGCATATTCTAAGTCGACGAGATTATTCCCTGGTAACAAGTCAATCTCTGCCTGAGTCTCTGAAGTCAGCAGTTAGGCTTAATTCCATTAGTACATCTATGATGAATTAAATGGAAATAGTGACAGTGAGAGTGCTTATTTAATTCTCCATAGGCACAACAACCTGGATTAGTGTTTGGCATCAATATGAATTTCCGGGGGTTCTAATGGTTAGTTACCGAATAATAATATTCACTGTCGCTGAGTTTTATACCGCTAGTTGACAGGAGTTAAGAATTATGAGTAATTAGACTTCACGATAAAGCTTGTAAATCTTAGACTGAGTACCCTATAACCTTAAGGCCATACTTACGTCCCCATGAACTATGTCGAAATAGAAATAAATGGTTATAATCTGAAGATTCTGCATATTCAATAATGATTTACCTGATTTTATTACATGATGGAAGCTACTCGGAAAAATATTCAAATTACTGAACGAAAGTTCAAATTCATAGGTTCCCTGAATTGAAATTATCTGATTGACATATATACGTATCTAATATCATAGACCATATCGTCTTAATATAATCGGTAGTTTAGTCCTAGTGGAACGTAGGGCTTCATCAGCATATCTCAACTTTTTCCTGATCTCCGAGAACTTCTTTAGCTGGTTCCATGATTGTCCATAGTCTCTCGTCTCTTCTGCGCACAATCTCCTCCATATATCACCCTCGAAGTGACACCCAACTTGTCGTTTCTCATTCGGCTGCCACTCGAGTTACTGCCTGGAACACTATGTCACTCGACAGTCTTCTCAATGTATGCCCAATCCATTTCCACTTTTTGTTGTGTTTATTCAGTGATAGGTTCTCGGTTGGTTCGTTTTCTATGAGAGTTCCTTGTTGCTAATTCTCCCTGCCTATCTGATGTTCACTATGGCACCAGAGAAGACAGCTGTTGACAAAAGTCTACAACTTGTTGGGAATAGCTTTTGTGGCGCTCAATGTACGTTTCTGACCGATTAAGAAGGGACTGACTGACTTAAAAGTGGTGTTGAAAATCCGAATTTTGTTGTTTATTCTGAGTGCAGAAGATTTCCAAACTGCTTTCAGACTGGTGAACGTCTGTCTATAAACATTCGGTGAATATATTGATGGAATTTAGAAAGTCTCGAGTGAAAA